CCTATGAATATATAATAGAAAATTACATATAACGGGCTTGTGAGCATCCATACATGTGACACCTGCCTCTGAATTTGAGACAGACCAATATGTACAGATGTTCTGTAGGAACGTTAAATCTCCTTGTCTGTGTCAGAACGTGACAAGCCGAAGATCCTTGCATAAGAGGTAGTCTAAAAATCAAGGGCAAACGTCATTGTTTAAATGCATGTGTAACTAACATTTCATTACATATTCTTTGGCAAATAGTGATCATTTCCGACCCCTCTACATTTCCTAGTAGAATGTAAAATTTATTCTGAGACATCCGTGTACTCTGTCCAGCCTTGTGATTATTTTGCCATTCATTCACGTCAAACTAAATTGTAAAAGAAGGGCATGCTCAATGAGTAACACAGAAATAACTTGAATTCATTTCATAAACGTTTGCTGGGTGCTGGGACTGTGGTATTTCAAATTAATTTCCGCAAACTGGACATTGTTGGCATAAAATCGGTGTATTTATGTACGTAGACTGTGAGAAAAGTACAAAAGTACAATTTTTTTAATACGTATTATTTACATGCATAACTCTCTTGTTTAAAAGTTAGTTCATAGCAAGTTTAATTAAATTCGTGATGAAAGTAAACCACACGGGCTTATTGAAATTCACTGTTTATGGCATGTCCGTTTTAATCCTTTTGATGATTGCAACCATAGAACCACCTTAAATGATATTGCTGGTAATAACTTGAAACTGATGTACACCGAACTGAATCACGCCTATTAATTATCCCATGCTTTGCACAGACGACCGTAAGTAGTTCGTGAAGAATACATTTCTAACGAATTCGTCTCATTGATGAAAGTGCTGACTAATTGCTCTTGTGTGCAAAGAAAGCAACAGGGATCTATGGTTACCACTCTACCCTGTAGTGACTAGCAGCGATACCTGGATAAATTGCTGCGTTTTAGGCTCAAAACTAAAACAAATCAAGAATTTTGTTGGTAACATTTTAAAAGATCGATCTGCGTCATCGGAAAAACTGAAGGAAATTTTGCAGAATGTCGCTTTAGAAAGAGAAATTTTCTGTATTCATTCCTTTAGATCCCTTTGTGTATCTGAGAAACAAACTAGAGGAAGAGAAACTGCCCCTCTGAACAGTGGTGAGTTTCCATTGAAGCAAAGAAGAGTCTAGACGAATTGTTCTCTAGAAATTGGCAAATATTTAGCAAAAAATCAGAGATTTTAAAAGTTTCAAGCGTTCATGCTTTGCCATTATAAGAGAGGACTCCTCTAGTTTTCTCCGCTCTTGTCACTTGACGAAGAAAGACAGTTTTCGGCGTAATAAAAACACCTTCTGACAAATAAGTGAATTTCGACATCAACATTGAGATGTTCAGTGTATTTCCTTACTTTTATGGCAAAGAGGACAATGATATGTGTAAAAAATATAGTTTGCGTATGAATTTATAATATAAAATCAAGTAATATATGTTTACTATATGTTTACATATTACTTACAAGTAATATAAGTTTTTGCACCTAAATGGGCCAATTATCACAAGTTTTCCCCCTAAAAATCCGGCCAGTAGAAATTATTATTCCAACCAAAACCATATCCAATGGTTCATTATTTACGGTAAATAAAATTATTGGAATATAATTAACCAGACAGTCCAACATTCTAAAGATCACGCCCTCCGCTTCAAATTGTTATTAAATAAAAGGAGATAAAATAAGAGAAACAATGTTTTTTCACAATAATTTAATACAGATATTTTTAATTAGAACGAAACATGTTCAAAATTCCTGCGAAATCTGGCAGAAAGTTACTTTTTACTTACCAAGTTTACTTAGTTGGTAGGGTCGGCAGCAAAATAATATAATAGACGTCATTTGTTCAACAATGATTCTGCAGATACTTTATAATTACTTTCTACATCATGGAGAATTCCAGCTCATACATGGGAAGAAATAGAGGTAAGATGTATGAAAATCTCTATACATTGTTTCATTTCAATGACATGGTGTCCCAATGCATTTGACATGTTCCCAAAATTTAATAAGAGGAACAGCTCTTCTATTCTTTCAAAAGACGAATAAGATGGCATTGCATACTAGATATACTTATTGCAATTTTTTTCGAAAAATGAATAATATTTCATTGCATACTAGATACACATGAATTCGCGCTTCCGGCCACTTGCGTCTGTATATATTTGTTCGTTACCTATTGTATCTTCGATCTGCCGGGTGCACGTGCTTTTTCTAAGCTTCACGAAATCGCAAGAAAAGTTGTAGATTTTTGTTTAATTTCAACACTTTTTAATTTTAATCATTTCACTTTCATATTACAGATGATTTTTCACTCAAATTGCAATATTCTTATATTTCTTCTACTCCTCAAATTATTGTCGAAAATGACCATACTGCCCTCAAAAAATGTGAAAGAAGTTCTCCCAGAGTATGTCGGCTATGTGCAAATGTTGTTGATAAACCAACATATTTATTCGCAGATAATGAAAATGGGTTTAACTTAGCCGAAAAAATAAATTCGTGCCTACCTATCACTGTAAGTACATGACATTCACTCATTCTTGTGTCTTAGCTAAGTTTCCAATTTCTAATTCCATTTTGTAATAACAGTAGGTAAAATTATATTGCAGGTGAAGAAAAATGATATGTTACCAAAACAGTTGTGTTCCAGTTGCATTGAAAAACTGCACGAATGCTTTCAGTTTTATGGAACCTGCATTTCAGCAGAGAAAACGTTAATTGCTGAAAATATTCATCCTTCAAACGAGGATTACGTAAATAACATTGATATCAGTAATATAGAACAAAGAATATGCACCAATAGTTATAACTGTCCACTTTGTGTTGAAGGCACCTTACAAATTGTTGATACAACTACAATAAACAATGAAATTGGGAATGCTATCATCCGTTCTAAAGATAATATAGGCAGTAATGTTGGTGCTCAGATATTATCTAACACTCATTATTTGACTCAAGTCGATACCAGTATCAATTGTGTTGCTAATTCAGAAACTCACGAACACAACGCATTTCTTTCAGAAATATGTCTGCCAATAGATCAAAAAAGTCAAGAATTACAACAGGATATAAGGAGTAATAATTTTATGTGTAGAATTTGCAACAAAATGTTTGATCTTATTGAAATGGTACACATTCATTGCAAAACTCATTCCAAAGAAAACTTTTATCCATGTGTACTTTGCTACAACATACATTTTGACAGCGAATCCCAAATAGATACGCACTTTTATTACACCCATCAAATGTTAAGCTGTTACAATACAAAGGCAGTCAAACAAAATTTTGATTCCAATAATGAATTAATTATTTCAAACCATGAAATAGGAAACAAAATTATTTTAACAGACATTAACTTTCCACTCCAATTAAATGAAGAATCATCTTCTTTGAAATCTAATATCACTTCTGAGATTTTTGAAGGAGGTACTTTATTATACAATGAGTACTTGGTGCCTGAAAAAAAAGAAACATGCGGAATATGTGGAATGCAGTTCAGTACAGATGCAATGTTGTTAATGCATGTGAACAGTGCCCATGTAACAAATAATAATTCGGAGGCTGCAGGCTGCAGTAAGTCTTATGAATTTCCCATATCCCTCAATCAACATACTCTAAAGGAACATGCTCTTGGAAAATCATTTCAGTGCGAATTCTGTGAAGCAACGTTTAGTCAACTTAATCAAGTGAAGAGTCATATTAAGCAGATCCACGAAGAACACTTTCCAATAGAAATGCAGATTTGCTATCAGTGTAGTGAATGTAAATGTATATTCCCTGATGTAAACCAAGTTTCAGAACATAGCGCATTCCATGAACAATGCACGTTAAGTTCTCATTATATACGTAATGCATTTAAATGTGAGTACTGTGACCAGTGCTTCTTGGACAAAGAGGATTTGAAGCACCATCTTTCCCAACACATTGGTGAATTGCCCTATGAATGTATACAATGTAATTTACACTTTGAATCTTACTACAAAATAAATGAACACAAAAAGATGCACGAAAATAATTCGGCTCAAATTCAGAATAGCGATCAGTTTTCCATTCCAGTATTTTATCTATGCGAGTTTTGTGGGAGGACTTTTGACCAATGGCAGAGTTTATATATTCATAGATTCAAATCACATCTTCATGGAAGAACACTCGCGGATGATGAAAGTTCCGAAAACCCTCATGACAACTTGACTTTTACGCCGGAAAGCGGGCAGTCTCATTTATGTGAAGTGTGTGGAATGATTTTCGAATCACAATCCACTCTCACGAAGCATCGCAGACAAGAGCACCCTCAAACCTCCAAGTATCGCTGCCCGGAGTGCGGGAAGGTGCTGGCGAATTTGACGGGCCTCATCATCCACCGTCGCCTGCACACGGGCGAAAAGCCATTCGTATGCGATGTGTGCGGCAAGAGCTTCCACCAGAGTTCAGGGATGTACACGCATCGGCGCACGCACACGGGCGAGTGCCCCTATCGGTGTGAATACTGCGGCCAGGCTTACAACGTGAAAGGCGACTTGGACAACCACCGGCGGGCAAAGCACACCAAAGAACGCCCTTTCAAATGCGAGACGTGCCAAAAGACGTTTCTGACCAGTAGCGTCTTCTACCAGCACCGGATCTTACATACAGGAGTGCGAAAATACAAGTGCATGTACTGCGAGAAGTCGTTTGCCAGATGGAACGCCTTACGGTTACACATTCGTACTCACACTGGGGAAAAGCCGTACATTTGCTACGTGTGTCAAAGAGGTTTTGCTCAAAAAGGAGACATGAAGAAGCACATGAAAACTCAACACAATATACTCGAGGTACCAGAAAATACATAGTTCATATTTCTAGTTTAGTTTTGGGGTAACTCTATTGTTATGTTTTAATTTGAAATATGTTCATTTCTTTTTTCTTTTAAAATACAAGACCAAGTTTGTAGTTCATATTGCAATATTTTCTGTAAGGAAAGGTTTTATTATGAACATTAAAAATTATAAAAAGAATTCTTGTTTTATTGGGACAAACATCTGTTCGTATATTAAGTTTATAAACATTTTACGCAATAATTCTTAACGTATACTAAAAAATACTTTACAGACAAACGAAACAATGTACCAGAAATAAAAATAACTCCTGTGGGTAAAATTTCAGGTGTTTTTCTCCGTCATTTGCAGGCACAATTATTAATTGTTCAGTGTTATGTATGACATTTAATACATATTTCTGTATACATGTCCTAAAATGATTATAAAAGAACTTATGAAAGAAGTTAAACTATGTTCGCGAAAATATCATTATTATTATAAGGAATTATCGATCCTTTATACATATGGCTGTATCCAGTACACTTTCTGTTGTCTATTTCCATATGGATAGGCCTGAGAACTAGAGGCACCTAAGGTAGGAACTATAGCCGCCGGATAGACAGAATGAACGGAAGGAATGTGCTCTCCAGGATTTATATATCCTTGAGAAATATCCCTCGCTAACCAAGTGGATTTAATGAGATCGGCAGCTTTCTCCGCAATCATTATAACTGGGGCATTCGTGTTACCCGATACATTTCCTGGAATCACAGAGGCATCTACAACTCTTAGACCTTCCACACCATAGACACGAAGTTCAGGATCCACAACAGCTAGTGGATCTTCTTTTGGGCCCATCTTGCAGCTCCCAGCCTGATGATTCACCTCCGGACCAGAGATATGTTGCACAGCGCACCGCCAATAATCAACTGACCCAAAGGTCAAATGTTCACACCCCTCTGCTGGCGTCCGGTCTAACTCAAATCCGTACTCCTCTCGAAGAATCTTGGTTTCTCCAAACTTAACGGCTAATTGTAAGCCTTCCACTAAAGTGTCAACGTCTCTTGTATCCTCTAGATAATTTGCAAAAATGAGAGGATCCTCCAAGGGATTAGAAGAACTTAATGTTATGTATCCTCTACTTCTAGGATGGAGGACTACAGGTACAAAATAAGCTTGACGAACACCCGGGGAGTTTGGGTCTTTCAACTCGTTAACTGCACCGGTTTTGGCACAGTTTGCCACATCGCTGTGGAAGAACATTTGTAAATCCGGGTTGTTGCCCGAAGGATGAGCATATTTCGTATTGAACTTAGCAGTGATTTGAGAAAGTCCTGTACTAGACATAGGGCCATTATGATGAAGTACATAGTCTAAAATGGCCTTCCAATCCAACTCATAAGTGTCGTTAATCTTTTTCATGTTCCACACAGTTGCAAACGCCACATGATTATTCAAATTTCTTCCAACTCCTGGCAAATCTTTCACTAAAGGAACTCCTACTCTTGCAAGATCTTCTTGAGGTCCTATCCCTGAGAGAAGCAGCAATTGTGGTGAATTTATAGCCCCTCCTGATAGAATGACTTCCTTTTTCACTTGGACTGCACCCTGTCGACCATTCTGCACGTACTCAACACCATATGCTCGTTTTGTAGAAGGATCCACTAATACTTTAGTAACTGTAGTGTTGAGCATAACAAACAAGTTTTCGCGATTTCGAGCAGGTCGTAAAAACGCTCTTGCGCTGCTCAGACGAACTCCATCCCTTGAAAAAAAAAATAAAAAAAAAAGAAAAGAGATTTGAATAATCAGAGAAATCAAAATTACATGATAGAAATGAGTCAGAAGTTAAGAAGACTTTAAGGCATTCCAAGGTCTGACATTTGGAAAGTTTAAAGGGAAAATGAGATGTGATTTGTTATACGTTTATGATGCCTCATTTTCAGTTTTAAGCAATTGCGTCGTGTAGGGAACTAAGCGAATATCTCCGTAAAACTCATTTAAATGTAATTACTTATTTCTAAATCTTAAATTACGGTTAATGTTATAATATTTAATGCTCTTTTAAGTCACGAAATCCTAATGTCATATGCATTCTGTCCCTTGAAACAAGGTAATGAAAAACTGAGCTAAGATTCTTTCGAAATGTACCGAAAATAAATTTTTATGTTGCGATTTTGAATTGGTTTGATTTTCGGCAATATCGTTCTTGTGTCGATGAATTTTATATTACGACAATGATTGAAAAACAATGCGAATTCAACCAGGAAATTGCCTTCATGTATTACGACAAACCTTTTGAAGATATTTTTTTGGTGAGGGATTGGTAATGGAAAGAAAAGGTTTTTCAAAGCCTCTTATAAACTGCATAATGAATGTGTATCAAAATAGAAAAGTAATTACCTCTTTCAAGACAATTATATAACCATAATACTGAAATAGAACGTAAAGTGAATAAATGTCAATATATCACGGCCACCATCTTTAAACGAATTCAAATATTTTAAAGTACATCACTTTTAATGATTTCATGAAATATTCATGTCAAACTCGAAGAAAATCGAGCAACCTTTTTTGCGAAAAATAATAACAGAAGAAATACCGACCGGTCGAGTAAAAAATGTCTTCGCTTTGCTCGGTCAATTAATGAATAGCGATTAAGAGGTGTTTCCCCAAGTAATAAAAGCTAAAAGCATATTCTAAACCAAATGATTATCTTAACTCATTTTCACAAATGTTAGGGGGAAAGCCCTTTTCCGAATTAACCTATTCAACCAAGAATGTAGTTTTAAACCCCTCTGGCAATAATGTATAATTTGGCGGCTCACGAAGAGTATCTTTGAATTTGCACTGACTTTTTTAACAGCAAAGTAACACTATTTTCACAAACCAAATAAGTGTTGATTTCTCAACTAAATATTAATAGAAGTAAAATTTTAAAAGTAAAAAGTAGAAATAAGATACAACTTACTATTGTGCAGCAAGTATGGATTTTATTTCTGAAAACTATGGTATATGTGAGTTCCAATTACAGCAGTTATTTAGGTATGAATTTCGCTGTAACACGTTGCTGAATGTTTTTCTGCCGATCCGGTGACCGAGATCGCTAAGGCAGTAGTGCCGTAGCGATCTCGGGCCGAAGGATCGCGGGTTTGAGCCGCGCCTCGGGCATGGTTGTATTGTGTTCGTCCTTTCACACCCCTATCATCATATCGTGACATCCTTACAGTTGTACACGTAAGCTTCCGCGGCTCGAATCCATAAGTTCGCGGCTATCCGGGAGACGCCGCGTCGTTGGCTGATTTGGCCTCCCAGCCAACGACGCGGCGTCTCCCAGATGGCCGAGAATTCATCCTCACAGTTACCATTACTCAAATACCGTTACTCAATTTAGTGGTCGCTAATGACCTAGAAGTTGATGCGACTTTAAATAACCAAGAAAAAAAATGAAATATTTTTTCTGAAAAGAGCGTCTTACCTGGATGTGGTCTGTGCTATGGTGATGCCCGTAAGGCTGGCTCCGTTTAAATCGCGGTTGAAATGGAAACCCAGTTCGGCACCTGCCCGCAGAACAGCGTCCGCCAGCGCCGGCCGATGAGGGAAGTGCGTCACTGTCAGGGGCCCTCCCACTCCGTGGAACTGCGTTCCTAACTCGTTCGCCTGCAAATTGAATCGACTAAGCGCTTCCACGAAAGGGCTCATTATGTTGAGGACACTATTTTTAAACTGTTGAAAAGAATTATAGGGAGTGTCTCGATAGTATAGGGAGTAACTCGATCAAGTTAACTTTATCAAATCCACACATTTTCGAAAATTTCAGATATTTACACGATCAATACTCGCAGAAGTATAATGGTATTCTTTAAATTTCAAAGGTAAACGATAGTAATACATATGATGGATTCGCAGTTTTCCTGATTTACATATTATATTAATGTTCAAAAGACTGTAAACATAGAAATTTAATACTTAACTTGCTTAAAAACGTCATTGTTTCATAACTTCTTTAACGAAAACAAAATACCTGCAAATTATCTTCAGATTTCTTGAAATATGGTAGCACTTCTGCATAGCTCCATCCAGTATTGCCTGCCGCTGCCCAACTATCATAATCATGGGGCTGTCCACGTAAATATACCATTCCATTGATTGTACTGCTCCCTCCGAGAACCTGCAATATTTATTAGAGACACACAAGCAAACAATATTGTTAGAATCAACGTAAATTCACAAATGTTAGTTATGAAATGTTTAGGAAGGAAGGTTTTTTACAAAAATTTCTGGTTTTCTTGGTCCAGTACCATATACCACAATATTGTTGGTATCAATGTAAATTCACAAATGTTAGTTATGAAATGTTTAGGAAGGAATGTTTTTTACAAAAAATTCTGGTTTTCTTGGTCCAGTACCATACCACAATATTGTTGATATCAATGTAAATTCACAAATGTTAGTTATGAAATGTTTAGGAAGGAATGTTTTTTACAAAAAGTTTTGGTTTTCTTGGTCCAGTACCATTATAATTGGTGTAATTTTCGCGACAAATATTTTTTTCTCTAAATCTCGAATACTAGAACCAAAGGCGTATTTCATTCCAATTTATCCCTCAATTTTAGATCTTTAAATAATGGCATGCACCTATTTTAAAATTATGAGGAATTGTTGTGTAATAATTCTAAACGGAGGAAAAGTCTCGGTGTACCGCGTATTCTCACTAGTAATTACTGATCTTCAAGACTCGCGCCCTATGATGCAGCCAATCTGACCAGAAACGTAATGAATGTGATTTAAGCGAAGTGATTTAATGTATGAAATTTATGTTTGTTTTTTGTTTTTGATTTTTGACAATAATGATTGTCATTATTATCCGTAACAACTTCTTCGTATATTTAGTACATATAACTTCATGGACATTTATTAAAGGATTTTGCCAATCCCAAAAGTGCAGAGTGGGTCTCGTACCAGCTGGTATCAAAACACATTTTAAAAATCTAAGTAATTGTTGAGTGAAAACAAGAAAAACACTAATTTATTTAGTTATTATTACGACACTTTTCATCTCAGAAAAAAATACTTACATAAAACAAAACGTACCAGTCATTGATTTAAAACACCCGTAAACAAGTAAATCTAAACAATTTCAAAATGTCCAAAAATGTGGTTAAATAAAAAAGAAAGAAAAGAAACAACTAGAAATTAGGTATCTTCAATTATGAATACGCAGAAATAACCACATAGCAATAATAGAAATGGTCCAGCCTAAACATGAAACATAAGTATTTATAAATACCCCTGAAAGGCAGCAATGCTGACAGGTGAATAAATTTTTCAAAAAGAAACAGTATGTAAATATGTTAGTTCGAAATATAGAATGTGCTATTGAAAAAACAGTGGAAGTAACGCATTCAAGGGAAAGAAAAATCTTTACGAGTTCCCGCAGCAGCAGTCTAAATTAAAAAATAATAAAACAATTGAAGGAAGTGGAGATTCGAGAGTGAGAAGACGAGGGCAGAAGGAGTTGTGACGTCATGAAGAGTTGACCCGTGTCGTGATGAGCATTTGAAAAGACTAATCTGATACGCCGTATAGTATGTGGAGATTTAATGCAGGGGTATCCAGAGAAGTCGTTCCGAAATTTATAAATGTGATAGTGGCTGGAAGTCAGCGTCTAAGTATGGAACCTGAGAGAAGTACCCATGAACTTTATTATGTAGGAAGACTAATATGTGTCATATCATATAAAACAAAATAACTTACGAGGCTTTGAATTTATTTAAGCATGATCTATTTATAGAACTTGAAATGACTTCACGTAGAATTTGGTATGTATGTACGGAGTAATGAATGTTTGTAAATATAAACAAATATATAAAAGCATTACGCAGAAATTTAATGTGATTCTTAGGGACGACCACAGCGTGGGCGAATATAAAAGTATTGAGAATATAGAGGCAAATAGATAAGATTTACAACGGGCATTATTGAAAAATAATGAATACATATTCATTCCATTAACGGATTTATAATATTAACAATTATGAAATAATTAATGATAACTAAATGAAATAGCATTCTTCAATGAAATAGCGACCTTCCTCAGGGCGTAATGCCCTGTATGCATTACGCCCCGTGGGTATTACGCCCTGAGGAAGGTCGCAGAATGGCGACCGAAACGTCGGCACCTTCGCCGTGGATGCGGCGGCACCCGGACAGCCAAGTAAATACTGACTCCAGCCGCGGAAGCCTGCGCTCTTAAATGAAATAGCGTCGTGCTCGCACGCTCACCTTGCCGCGCACCCACGTGCAGCGGCGGTCGGGCATGCCGCGGCACGCGTACTGCTCGGGCTGCGTGCGGAACTGCCAGTCGAGCGGCGTGCCCTGGAAGTTGACCACCATGGACGGCACCTGCACCCCCACCGGCTCCTCGCCGCCCGCCTCCATCAGCAGCACGCGCCACTCGCCCACCTGCGCAAACGCACCCGGTTAGCTGGCGGAGCAGGAATGGTTCACAAACAAACAAACAAACAAACAAACAAACAAACAAACAAACAAACAAACAAACAAACAAACAAACAAACAAATAAATAAATAAATAAATAAATAAATAAATTAATAAATAAATAAATAAATAAATAAATAAATAAATAAAAAGGACCCCAGTTTGCTCATTCCTGGTTTTCCAAATTTCAATTCCCTGATGGGGCAAAAATGAATCTGTCACTGTCTTCTCCTGTGACAATGGGAAATCTATTCTCAGCTAGAGAATGCCAAATACATGGCATAAGGGTTTGCGATCAGCTTAGCACAGGTCTACCGAGCCCAGGCCTGCCATGACCATAGTGTAAAGAAGTTCTAATGCTAGAGTACATAAATAGATAAATTAAAGGTAAAATAACTAAGAAGAATAATGGTTCTACATTCTGCTCATAAACAAGGTTTTCATATTTTTTGAAATCAAACTTTCAAATTGAAAGTTTATTTAAATTTATTTGGATGCTTAGCTTTAAGGAAACCGTTAAACGTATCAAGAAATCATTCAGAGAATGTTCTTTGTTTGGTGGTTTGGTGCAATCTGTTTTCTGTGTGCGAGAAAACTAATTTTCTTTGTTTCTTCCAGGCGGGCAATTGCGTTCTAGCTCCACACACGGGACAATTCGTCGGACTGTCGGGACAACGAAATTTTACTCTCGGCACACGCTGTCCGACCAACAACCCGATTTTTCAGTAGTGCTCGGAATTTCGAGAAGGCAACATCTAGCGTGCACGCTGTTGGCAACTTGGCGAGTCGAGCTGTTGCACGGGAATTCCCGACCTCCAAAATCTAGCCAAAAGAAATAAAAACCTATTTAGATATGATTGATAGCAGGGAATGGTGCAGTGAAAAGTTTATGATATTCTCATCCATAAAAACTCAGTATTACGAGCATAGTGTGTTTGACTATTTATCCATTTTCTTGACCTATAGTCAAATACTTCCCGCACTTGTTATAAAGAGTAACCGGTATAGTCGTGGGCGCCAGAACAGTGATGGGCACAGCAACTGTACGGGGGTGATAATAACATTTTCAAACAGCGAGCGGCCCTCTGCACGTAATCTGTGTCGTGTGTGTCTTTAAGAGTGCAATCCCGGAATATGAATTAAATGTGGTCCCGCAGTAAGCGTAGATACCTATCAATAATTTTTGGTGTGCTCCACATGTCTGTGTTTCGAAACGTTGGGGATTCGTTAGTGGATGTGTGATCAGTTATGAAGGATTTAAGACAATTAGTTTGTTTTTATTTGCAATCCGCGCTATGCGTAGTGTAGTCCGGTTAATAATATACGTGTTCATGTGCGTTTTCACTTTCTCAGAGCATGCCATAAGAAAAAAAAGATAGCCTATAACTGCAAATATTTCTAACGTGCAGGACAATGATGGGTATTGAGCAGATTTTGATGACTTAAAATGTGGCAAAAACTGATCAATAAATAAAATGCTCTTAAAATGAAATATTTTTAAAATGCTCAAAAAGCAAAGAAAAGCGGCATAAAAAATTGATTAAAAATCATTTCGATGATTAAATTTTACTGATTTTGAGGCATGAAGACACTCAGAAGACAAAGAAGTTCTTACAGTGAACAATTAAATATGTTGTATATATTACTGTTGTAAATGAGACTTCTCTTCGCAGAAGATAACTCAGTTTACAAACTTTTGGTTTGGACTGTTCTTTAGTGGTAAATCTTTCCTCTTTTCATGAATGGTCACAAAATTCGCTTTACTTTTTAGCCGAGTGAGCGCTATTCTGAATTTCAAATATTTTTAATGGCACTGTATCCGAACGCCACAAGAATTCGTCGACCAGCAGATGTCGCTGTATTTCAACCAGTCAAGAGTGCGTGTAAGAAAGGAGTGCTAACATGGCGTCGAGAACATCCTTCTGAGCTCTCACATTGAAAGACTTCGCTGCGGTGTTGGAGAAGGTCGTAAGCGCAATAAAGCTAGAAACTTTGCAAAATGTTTTTTTAGAGCTTGTAGCCTTGTTCCCTGGAACACTGAGAGCATTGATTTCACTAAATGTCTAGGGGGAGTGCACAATGACGCATCAAATGAGGATAATGAAAACATTGTAACCACAATACACAGACAAAACCATTGGCATTTGAAACATTTGGCGATATTATGGCGGAGAAGAAAGAGTAAAAGTTCAATAACGTTGATCAGGAAACACACCATCTACATTAAACTAACAATCGGACTTGCCTCAGGAAAACAAACGTCAATTCTTCACAAAGAATGACATATTCATCTATTGAATGATCTCAGCTGTCCGGGTGACGCCGCGTCGGAGGCTGTGTTGCTGACGTTTCGACCATCTTGTTGCGGTCTTCCTCAGGGCTGGTCTGCAACCCAGACTGCCCAACACAACCTTCGACGCGGCGTCACCCGGACAGCCCAGATCATTCAAAGATTCCAGTCGCGGAAGCCTACGACTTCATATTCATCCATTCAACGTTTAAGCACATTTATACGAGATGAAAGAAATAAGGACATTTGTCAGCCGAGCACTTTTACAGGCATTTGCAAGATGGGAAGAAGCAGCAGAAAGTCTCTTTCCTTCAGAAGTCCACAAACGTATTTTCTTCAGGGCAGATTCCAGTGTTCACACATTCAATTTTAAAAACTACGGTGTGTTCTACGCATTGTGTCAAAAGGTGTTTTACATATCATGCCTTTCCTCAAAAGATTCTATAGATGAAAGTTATTCAGACTACGAAACTATATATTTTTGTGTAAAATGTTTAGACTTAAATTACTGAAGCTTCATAAACCAGCAGTAACAAGTCAACTGCGTTCAACAATGCTATTCGGCTTCGTTGGGCTTGTATATTTTTTTATTGTATATTTTTTTCTGTCCAGTCGCTCTCGCATTTGCTTTGAACTGTCAGATGCCTAATTACCCCAGTTAAAATTGTTTGGGAAATCGTTGTTCCAGCGTTGCTATTTAAAAATGAATCTCCTCGGAAGAACAATGCCTTACCTGAACATTTTCCCTCAACGGTGAAGTGTATACAAAGAATTAATATTTACATCATGTACTTTATCCATCTGATAACGTATCAATGGATGTTGTAATTCTTATCTCGATATCGGAACTTGAGACTTCTGCTTATGTTCTCATTTTGATAACCTCAATGTAGGTTATTTATCTTACGTTGTGGATTTTAATAATGTTGCATACAATTGCGGCGTGCTTTGCCTCAAATTATCTTAGGAATTCATTGTTTTTCTCATTTTTTATTGCTGCGTGCTTATTTCACCTCGAAAATTAAACATTTCGCTATGTAGGAATATAATGCAACAAAATCTCTTTCAATCACACTGACATCTGTCATAGACTGGGTAAACAAAAAATCAAAATGAAATAAACGTATACAAAAATGTTATAATAACTATTATTATTATTATTATTATTATTATTATTATTATTATTATTATTATTATTATTATTTTACTCAAAAACCGGAATTTTGAAAAACGCGGACTTGAATCAAATAAACTTACGTACTAACACAGTCACTTGAATAAAGAGTTACCACACATTTGCTGTGATCTGAGAATATTAACTTAAAAATGTAAATACTAATATAATTCATTACTTTTGAATCACAATCCTGTGGAATGCCAAAACTATTATTACTGATAATGATGCAAAATAATCTACTTTCATTATTAAAATACGCTTTTCTATATTTTTGCCTTGACTACTTTTTTCTCTTCTGCAATTCCTCCTCCGTTCCTAGCAGTTGGCGATCACTTCCTCATTCTTTTTTCTGACTTGTGCTTGATGAAACAACTCAGATGCACTCAAAATACCAATCCATTTGCGGATGTTGGCCAAACAGGACATCCTCTTCCTGCCAACTCCCCGGCTACCCCGAAGATTTCCCATATATGTTGTAATAGATCGTACTTGGGGTTTCTAAGAAAATGTCCAGGATATAGTGGTTTTCTATTTTAATACTGTTTAACAACTTTCGATGTATGTCATTCCGTTCTAGTATATAATAATTACGCCATTTGTCAGTCCAGAGAATTTTCACCCTTCTAATCATCTACATCTCGAATGACTTCAATATGTTAATAGATGCTGTTTTCAGTGTCCAAGTTTCAATGTCATAAGAGAACAGCTGTCACAAAACATTTTGACATTCGCCACCTGACAGTAGAACTCAAGAGAGTGCTACAGAAACAATTTCGCATATTGTTTAATGTGAATCTCGCTATTTTAATTCACATTTATCAACAGTTGAAATGGACTTGCCCCTTTCTTAATAATTAACATATAATATAATTTATTATATTTTATTTAATTATATTTATTTTACATAACATAACATACTATTATATTTATTTTATATAAATTTATTTCTAATAATTTTTGCAAGCTGATTTATTCGGTGCATTGTCTTTTATCAATCAGTTGCACAATCTGCCAATATACGTGTATCATCGGCAAAACGTATATTAGAAATGGGAATCCCATTCACTTTTACTCCCCCATTAGAATCTACTGAGTCTTCTTTGAAAACTTGCAAACTTGCAGGGCCTCAAGTACCACCACTTAAACCTTTAATATGGTGGCGAGCCATATTTTCATTACTCGGGCTATTCGCCCCTGACCAGTGTTGCCAGATGTGTTTAGAGGGATTCCGCCAAGTTCGTTTCAGTTTCCGCCGAAAATCCGCAGAACTGGTTTTAAATTTCCCGCCTAAATCCGCTAAACTTAAAACAAATTCCTTTTTCCATATTTAAATGTATTAATTTATTCTATTAAAAAATAATTGCGATTGTATTATATAGTGGCTTTATTGAACCTGCAATTCAAGTTTTAGATAATATAGAATGCATTACTTGGGTGAAAATTTGCAAAGTAATAACAATACATTTCAGGTATTATATAAGTATTATATTATTTATTCT